TCTACTTAGAGGAAAGCTGTCCAAACAGTTTAACTCACAAGACTGACCAAAGGTGCCATGCTAGACAAAACATGTTAGATCTATCCTGGCTAATGGGTATTTTACAATTAGCTGGAAGGGGAGGGCTGAGAATCCTGCATATGCAGTTAGAAATATAACACATTCCTTGGTGTAGCTCAGTCCACAAGCTATGATTCTACTCTCCTTCACCCTACTTCTTTGCCACAGGTAAGCTAAATTCTCTTTTCTGGCACTGGTTCCCTACTGCACGAGCCTCTAATAAAGCTTTGCCTGGTTCAATTTCACCTACCACACTCCGGTGAATTCTTTCTATAGAGAGCTAAGAACCCACTATTTTGTGTTGGGGTCTGTAACAAAAGGGCAACTCACAAAATAAATGTGAAAGTCACTTTCATTGACTCTGAAAAGTAAAAACCTTTTTAATCAATGGAACTAATTTTTTAAAAGAGCAAAGACCAAAACCTCCTAGGGCCTCCTCCCTCTGTCCAGCACATTACAAGAGACACAGTAAGCAGGGGGTCTAGCAAACTTGCACCACATCATTTTTATTGTCACTGAATCTTCTGGGAAGAATAGGCTGCACTTACCATCTTTAATTCCTAAACCTCATCATGGTAGCAGACAGCCTGAGGGGCACCGTGGAACCCCAAAACCTACATGTGCTAAAGAGGTTTCAGCCATCCACCACCTAAAGACAAAGCACATTCTTAGTGTGAAAGAGCTTCAACAAGATAGTGTGTGGAAAGAGAAAAGACATAAATTTTTCAATAAAACACCTAAAGTCACCTCTCCCCTTGTGGGTAAATGCCCAGCCGAATAGGGTTGGCCCAAAGCAGGGCTGCTGAGGCCTGAAAATTTGCCACAAATCTAAGGGAACAATAGGGAAAGGGCAAAAGGGACCAACCAGGCCAAGTCTGGAGTGAAAGGCGCAAAATCATAGCCCAATTCAAGGTAACAACTGTCATTATCAGCCCCCATGTGGGTCTTTCACCCACATCTCTTCCAAGTGTCTCTGTCTCAACACCATCTCCTTCATGTCCCCCAAGTCACTGGTGAAGTCCTAAGCCAAGAAGCAAGTGGGCCCTTCTTCACATGTCTCTGCTCTATGTACCTCCTCCAAGTCTTCTAAGTCTTCTCCAGCTTCCCCTTGCTGCTCAGCTTCACCTTTCATTAGATGGGACAGAGACGTGGAACATGCCCTTTTTATGGAGATTACACTATAACGATCACTGAGCAACACACTGCTTCCTATCTTTAGCCCCTAGTGCCACCAACACTGCCTTACTTATTCCTATTCATCAAAATTCAATTTAGGAATTTGTGGAATATTTGTTCCTCAGACTGAGCTAAGAACTGCTCGAGCTCAAGGCAATTTATATATGTCTATTCCTGCATGTACATGATATTGAAAAATATCTGTTTATGACTGTCTTTCCTACCAGATACACACTTAAGTTCAGATACTGTTTTTATTCATTTCTGTCTCCAGTTCCTCAAAAATGCCTAGGATATAAAAAGTCTCAAATGAATCTTGCTGACCTAACCCGACCTAATCTCATTGAACTCACACATTGTCAGGAGAAAAGCAATTGTGAGCAAATAAAATACAGTGAGGTCTGTGCCATAAAAGATGTGTGCACAAAGAGTATAGGAGACTGCAGAGGTACCACACCTTAACCTCTTTATGATGTCAAAAACTTAATTGTGAGGAAACAGATCCTATGGCCTGAGAGATACTGTGCTTTCCCACACAGAAGAGAATAGGACCAAAAATAAGAGAATATAAGGAAAGTTGAACCTTATACTACATTAATTACTGAGGATTTATAATACTCTATACTCTGACTGATGAATTTCTTTTTCTCAAGCAAGTTCTTAGCAGGTTGCCATTGCCCTGGATCTAGAACTCTGTAATTTTCTCAATATGTTCTCTTCTTTCAATAAGTGTCACCTGATATGGGGAACTGATGATCCATCCAGGGTGAGCCTTAGGCTATTACCGCTACTTAAAGAATATAGATTATTTTAAGAGCTATGAGGATCCTAGAAACTTAAGAAAACCCATCCTTGCTCATTTGGTTCCCCTTTTCCTAGTTAAAAATGCAATCACCACCACCCCCTTTTCATGACCTGGAAGATCATGGTTTGAAGAAACCATTCAGGTCTAGGTATATCAGTAAACTTCTGCTACCTTATCTGAGAAACTTACTGTTTCTCTATTGAGAGTAAAAAGATGAGGTTTCTCCCTCCCCCTCCCTTTGAGACCCCAGGTCCTTAACAACAGAAAATAAATAACCTTGTAACACTTCATTTTACTTTAGGCTTTATAACCATGTAAATTCTTAATATGCATGTAGTTAAATTTTGACCTTTTCTCCTACTTATCTTTCTGATGCTAATTTGTTCATCCAGGCTTAGAAGATACCAAATAGAGTGGGAATTTTCCCTATACCCCAACACCTCCATTTCTGGGAGGTACACAGTTTGTTAACTTATATAGTCCGTTTTCCCTACTGCCTTCTTGTACAATCATCTTGTACATTCTTTGTAAAGGTAGCATAGACTGACCATCTGTGGTATGTTAAAATGAAGGACCTTTGTCTTTGTAGAAGATCCCTTAGAATCAGTGATTAATGGAGTCTTCTTATTTAATCTATATATCCTGCCTCTGAAACCATTAATGGGCACAATTTCATGCAAGGCAGAATCAGCAGCCAGAACAATTTGTTTAGGAAGATTTGGCACAGATACCTGGGCTGAGCTCATACTGCTAATGGAGGAAACTTTTGGAGTTAGGAGTCAATAACTAGGTGAATATAAAATCCCTTGCCATTTTAACTCAACTTATGCCTTGCTCTCCGAGAGACAAGACGTGCACTGAAAACCAAAGAGGCCAAAAGTGAGAATGTGGTTATGGTCATTGGAAAGGTCTGAAACTGGGGAAAAGAGACAGGGCAAATGGAAGAAAATTCCTTACTTTAGAAGGAATTGTATTGCCTTCTGCAAACATCCAGTATTTTGTGTTAACTATGAAGACTATGCAAGTCCTGCCTTTAAGAAGTTTAAAAATTGCAGAGACAGCTTTATACACCAATGTAGTTAATATAAGGCAGAATGGGACAAATGGACTCCTAGAGAGAGAGAAAAGATTTTTTCCCAGTGGTGCTTATCTCTGAAAGAAATGCTGAAAATAATTACAGAGGAAACTAAAAGGGGACTGATTGTCTTTTTAAAAAATTATTTGTGAATTCCATGCAACTGGATTTCAGCAATTATCTGTAAATCAATTTTGGTATACCTCAAACCATGAAGTCAGTGAGGAGGTTTGCCCCAATTGAAAGGAGGCCTCAGTGTTAGACATCTTTCTTGCCTTCCTTGGAATGTTGTTAAATACAAATTTCAAAAGTAAATTTTAATGAGATTCAAAAAATAATAATAATAATGGGCAATGTGCCCCACTGCCAAGTAGCTAAGACTAGAAAGTTGTCCAGAGTCTCCACCCAAGGGAAGAACCTGGTGCTCATTAAAGGTTATTCTAGTCCAGGGCTCCAGGGAAACAAATCTATCTGAGTAAATCTGGTGGAAAGTCTGAGACCCATGGGAAGTCATGAAATAAACGAAATAAACACACAATAACTTTTGGCCAATTCTCTTAACCATCTGTACCAAAAGGCTCGACTTCACCAAAAAAAAAAAAAAAAAAGGCCACTGAGCTGTCATGTGGGTAAAACCCCCAATACCTGCAACTTTCTTAAGGAAAGTATCTTCATTTAAACATCATTCTTGCCTACTTTTTTGATCCACTTTTTTTTTAATAATAAGAGAAGCCTATTCCTTTATCCAAAATGAGCCAAAAATAAGGAGTCAGAGCACAGCCCCACCCTCACCCCTATTACAGCTTTACTAAAAGCTTTACCCAATTTACTATGGAGAGTCTGGTCTGTGGACTCCTGGCAAAATCTTAATTTTTTTTTTTTGAAGATTTATTTATTTATGCATACAAGAGCTGGGGTACGGGCCAGAGATGCAGGGGGTGAGAGGATTCACCAGAGACAGAGTGGGGAACAGAACAGGCAGACTGATTGAAATACACTGCCAAGAGGAGCAGTGGGCGAGTCAGGAGAGGTCTGCTGTACCATGTGGGTTACTCCCTGGCTGGCCAGGGATCAAACTCATGCTGCAGAGGCTGCGGATTGCTTCGTATGTTGCTTAACCCCTTGCACTACCAGGGAGGCCCCTCCTGGCAAAATCTTAAGAGCATTTCTTCTGCAGAATAGTCTACTGTAGGTTTATAGCAGAAAGCAGAGGAGTAATAACTGAATGTTGATTGGCAATGCATTACTAGGATAACCCTCCCCAAGATGTTCAAAACAGGCCTTTCTAAGATGTGAAACTATGGCATATGGGTTATTTTGAACTGTGGTCAACTTTGTAGGCAAATAAGAAACTTTAACAACTCTTTTATTGCCTAGAAGAATAAAAATTGGGGGTATTAACCCAGATTGTTACCAGAAACAATATTATTATCAGAGAAACCTACCTAAATGGCAGAGCAAACATCTAATTACAGAGCCTATGGTCTCGGTCATAGGAGTCACCCTTCTCACTCCTAAAAGCCTCAAGCCCTGTCCTACTCCTTAATTCAGGATGTATACCCTCATTTTGCTCCACTGACTTTGGAATCTATATCCGTGCAGATTCTCCACACATGTCATTTAATTTGTTCTTTTCCTCTACCAATCTGTGTGCTATTAATTTGATTGTTTAACTGAACCAACCCAAGAAGAACCCAAAAATTTCTTCTCTACCCTATGCCTTCTCTACGTATTTTTCTGTGTCTGGCAATTTCCATCTTGCTGAAGATCAAACTATGCTGTAACTCAGGAAAAAGCATCTCTCATTTGGTGATCTGCTATATCATTTCTGCTTATTCACAGTGAAAAACACCATATTTTTAAGAAAACATGAAATGCAGAAGTGAAAATTACAGCAATCTTTTAAAAGTTTAAATTCTCATTTTAAGTGATTTTAATGTTATAAATGTTATGTTCCAACTCAAAAAAGAATATTGCACAATGTTTTAATATTACAGTTGTTATTTTTCTCACTCTGGTGAGATTTTGATACACATAGTTGACTTTGGAAATAACACAGAGAATGTCTTAATTGGTTAAATAATTTCAATAACCTGTGAAGAATTGAAAGCAGGATATTACATTCATATAAAAGACAAGTACAGATCCATAAATTCACTGGATTTTAGTGAAAAATAAACTCATTGTACTTAAAGGAGACAAAATTGAAAATGGGATGAAAATAAAATGTAACTCCAAAATTTTTCAATACACTCATATGCTTTTGGAAATCCATCAGATCCTCAAGACTTCTTAGAAAATCAGATCACATGGTAAGTCTCATTTTTGCAGATGCTAACATATTTTTAAAACAAAATCTAAAATAAGTACAAACCTGCACTGGTAAAAATAACAAAACCTCTGAATGATACCGTAAAATTACCCAAGTAATAACAAAAAAGAAAGAGACAAAAAAATAATTTTTTATGTCATGGCACTTATTAAAATTTCTGTTCAAATGTATGAACCTACAGTATTTTCCTTAGTAACAAACACCAATTGTCATTTTGTATAGTTAAGGAGTAAATGCTGAACATTTAAGAAAGTAAAATATTAGTGGTCATAAAGCAAATTTAATTCCATGAAACTCTCCTGGTTTCAACAATTGTTTCCCTTTTGTTTTCTAATTAGTATTTTTAGCAGAGAGTTAGCACTAGAGGCCCAGAAGGTGATAGATAAATGCCTTAGGTGCCAGTTGTGTTGTTTTCTTAAAACTTTCATTTAACACTTGTTATTTTTAGAGTTGTTGCTCATGAAATTCATGAACACACCCTACTTTTGCTGCTTTTTATTCATTTTCAGGAAAATTAAACCACAGCATAAAGAGAAAGGACACAAACATATTATATATTGTCTAATATACCACCTACTCGTATTCTGCCACTAATTTTCAGAAACTGTAAATTATTTCAGTTGCATTGGTGTCTCTGTTAATGCTTAAGCTAAATATTCGACACCATGAATTTCTTTTTTATAGTTGTCCTAAGATATAATTAATCCTTCATATTTTGTAAACATCCAGGAATCTAACATCTGGAATATTTATCTTCGTCAAATCCTAATATAAAAATACTTGAAAAAAAAAATCTCTGCAGAAGATAACCCTCAAAACACTCTCCTCAAAAAGAAAAGATTAAAATAATGGATTAGCTCAATTGTTGTGCCTTAAACTAGAACCATTGACTATATTTCAGAAAAAATACTCCATTTAAAACTGATTTTCATTCAGATTGGTGATTGGAGATTTACTTACAATGAAAGATAAATTATGTGAGCCTAGGATGGTGTCAGAATTGCACCTGAGGGCAGTTTTTCCAATTGAATGTGGATGTTGGTATATGACCATGATGAGTGTTTTGAATATTTTCTAACAGAAATTAGCATTTTTGTCAATTTTGATATTCTATTTTATTCCAAAAACAATTTTTACTTAATTTTCAGCCCTTTTAATCACCTGTCACCCAGAATCCATTTGGGTATAAGCAATCCTAGTATGGGCAGATAAAAGCACAGCATCCAGCTAGAAGACTGCATTATCATCCTCATTTTGCATTGCAAGAATCAAATTCAATCATAATATCAGGAGAAATAAAAACTTCAAATATACATAAATTATATAATTTTTTTATGTGAAGAAATACTTACTCACTAGTCTTTTTAACTACTAGTGTCATAAAATTCGCATAAGTTGAGAAAAAGTTATTAGGGAAAATACTAATCTCTGATATATCAAAATATTTAGCCATCAGAAGTAAAAACATTGGCAAATAGAAACTTAACTGTGAGTTAGGAATTGTAACAATCCTGAATAAAAACCCTTTTCTAACTGAAAATGTCATTATGGTTCAATATTTTCAGAAAAAAAAAAAAAAACTTTTCAAATCTTCACACATACACACTCTAGTTCTCTGAATCAGTAAGCAAAAGCCCTGCAGGTTCTATGACATGTTCACAGTTATCCAAGCTAGATGAAGCCTACTATAACATTTCTTTTACTTGCAAAAATCAAAACTAATTTTACATAAAACACAGTTTTTAAATTTATGATACCTGCTGAATATGATTTGCTTATTTCATAAGGTATGCCTTAAAATTTTCCAGGGTTACATAGCTGAGGAACTCCAACATTAATTTTTCTATTCCATGAACTCAGATGGACTCCCTTCTACGTGCTTGTAACCTGCAAAATCCCTGGACTGGAAAAATGGGTCAACAGTATTACTTGTGTCACTTTTAATTATCCTTGTGACACTCAAAAGCCTTTTTTAATTTCAGCAAAGTTAAGTGATGTATTATTTCTGCATTTGGAATTTAATGTGTCAACACTTTGTCTTTAAAGCTATCTTTAAATACACTGTTGAAAACATGTCCACACTAATGAAGTTCTTTTTAAAAAAAATACATTGTTGGGATTTCGAGTAGATTTTAAATGCCCATTTCCCCATAAATCTAAATTCAACAGCAGCTCTGACACTGAAATTTGTGTAATGAATATTGTGCTTTGTATCTTTAATGAATATATTCTCCAACGTGTGGTTATGAAGACCTGTTTAAATCCCATTAGAGAAAAAATTCTCTTGGGCTTTATCTTACCATTTTTTTAACAAAGATGCTGATATTATGTAGGTTTTTATTTTCAGGCTCTCATTTGGGTAGATTGTGAGAAATATCTTGATATAACAGTCCTTATTATCAATCTTGTATATATAAGTAAATAATGCAAACAACTATAATTGAACAGTGAATGGTATTCCTGTAACCCTTACTTTTAAATTTATACATCTTTTATTAGTTTGTCCCATATAAAAATCAGTTCATCCAAGTTTTTGGGCACAGAACTGTCTTTAATATTTAAAATTAAGCTCCTAATTAGAGCAAAATATGTAAAGAGGGTTATACTTTCTTTTCAGAAATAACAAACTGATAAAAGAGAATAATTATAGGTTATCAATACCCATATTTTTAAGAACTGACCATAAAGCCTACAGATATATGTGCCATAGACTATGAAAAAAGAAACACTTTAGGAAAAAAAATCACATTACAAAGTGTATTATAAAAATAAATTACATAGCATGTGCCCATGGACCTGACAGCTTTGCAAAAGGAAGAGAAATTCCTTTTGACACCAAGATTGAATTGTTTTTGCTACCTATACTCATATTATCAGCAACACCATTTCATTGTCAGCTATTACATTATATCCTCAAAAAAAAAAAAGTCACTGGAAGCAGTAAAGTATTTCCAGTAGTGAGCAGTGGCACGGAGGACCTTAGTGGTGACGGAGGGCTGTAGAAATATTATCCGTTCAACAGGGATTCAGAGGAAGTACACAAAACCAGTATGTGCTTGCTTTACCATTTCATCTGGAGTTCATACGTAACTGGTGAATGATGATGCTTTCTATAAAGAGAAGAAAGATACAGCATTTTCAATTAAACTGAAAAGCAAGTCAGCGGTTTCTGGAGGATCAATATCACGTCATTTCACTAAAAGAACATAGATGTTAAATGACAGACAAAACAGTACATGAGCCCAATAGCTTCTGCAGTTCTTTACTATTTTTAGGTAACTTCTTTATATTGGCATATGTGCTTACTGTTAGAATTCTCAGTCCTTTAGAAACCATGCCAAATTCCTAACAATAGTAGATCAATTTTACCCAGGGAAAGAATTGAAGAATAATTATGTATACAAGCCATATCGTGGGAAACGAGAAATAACTATTTTCCCAGCCATACTGCTTCTGCCCTGAACAATATTCACATACTTTTATCTTTTTAAAAATGTATTTTTGAGTTTTAATAGGAAAATATTATCTATTCCTAGAAAGTCATTAAACATAAATGACTCACTTTTGTCTCTAGCTTCTTGCTTTTGCATAATTCTGTGTATTTAAAATCTAAATTTGGGGCCTCCCCTGGTGGCACAGTGGTTGAGCTCCAGGCTGCGAAGCTGCCCACAGCCTCTGCAGCGCCAGTTGGATCCCCTGCTGCTGGCGAGGGTCCCACAGGCATTACAGACCTCTCCTGTCGTGCCCGCTGCTCCCCTCCGCAGTGTATTTCGTCAGTCTTTCTGTTCTGTTCCCCGCTCTGGCTCTGGTGAATTCTCTCACCCTCCCGCTCTTCCGAGTGTACCCAGTGCTTGTATAAATAAATAAATAAATCTTTAAAAAAAAAGTCTTTTAAAAAATAAAATAAAATAAAATCTAAATTTGTTCTCATGAAAATAAATAAAAAATTGATAGTAATTAAAACAATATCAGTCACATTGTAAATGTGTAATATTTATGTTTATTTTATTTTACTTATATATTAACTTTATGCCTTTTTGAACATGTATCATCAATTTTTTTATCATAATATTCAGAGACTATTGAGGCCCTATTGTGTGCTAGGCATGGAACCACATTATGAGGAAAATGAAGGAGAGTCCTGTCATTGCCGAGATTATATAGAGTGGAGAAAAAAGAAATAACTAAGCCTCAAATAGTTTTTCCACCTAAAAAAAAATGTTACCTCCCTGTTAGTATATGACAATGTTTTAAGTGCAGAAACTAATGTCAGGGTTTAGCAATAGTGTTTATCAGGGTTTATCAATCAATGTTTATCAATAGAGGATTTTTTTCACTTTAGTTTTGAATGCTATTTACATTTATTTAGCTATTTGACATCTATATAAACATTAATGAAAGCACATTATGTCATAGACCCACAAGTTCTTGCTAATGATGTAGAATGGATGATCCTGACATAAGTTTAATGGTCTTTGCCTCTTTAAATTTTCCACTGGTGTGAGTACTATTTTCTATTACTTCAAGTCTAGGTTTATTGCTTAAGTGTGTTTCTTATAAGATCCTGTGTCAAAACTTCTCTGTCAAAAAGAAAATGTTACTGTGGTTTCATTAACTTCATGCTGACCACTAGGTGGAGATATTTCCATTGTTTCGCCCAAACTTTATAATTGAATTTGTGATAAATATGTAAGCAAAATAAACAAAATATATAAATGTTTTATATACTTAGTGATATATACCTATGAAGTCTTTGTAAAGCTTCTAAAACCTACATGTGATTTTCCACTTAACCAAAACCCTTAAAAGTCATTATCTCATTTTCCTTTGGAAAATCATTCTAGCTTCAAATTTTTTCAATACCCAAAAATATATAAAAATATTCAGGAAAAAAAACTGCAAAAATCTAAAATCTAATGTAGATAAAATTCAGAATATAGGATTAAAATACAATTTTCCAATTTTCTTTTTTGAAATTTATGTCAATTTTAAAGAGACATAGGTCTCAAATTTCCCTAATAGAAGCATCTTCCCCATTTTTATACATTAAGAAAGCATAGAAAACATAGATTTAGGGCCTCCCTGGTGGCTCAAGGGGTTAAGATGCAACCTACGAAGCTGAAGCTGTCCGCAGCCTCTGCAGCACAGAGTTCGATCCCCTGCCAGTCAGGTAGCAACCCATATGGCACCACAGACTTCTCCTAACTCGCCTGCTGATCCCCTTAGCAGCGTACTTTGGACAGTCTGCCTGTTCTGATTCCCCCCTCTATCTCAAGTGAATCCTCTCACCCCTCCCCCCACACCTCTGGCCTGTACCCCAACTCTTGTATGCATACATAAATAAATCTTAAAAAAAAACATAGATTTAAAAGAGTGAAATCCAGAATTATTCTTACTGTAAGTGTAATTTAAATTGCTGTGCCATTTTCTCAATACAAAATGAGAGCTTTAAAGTAGGGGACCACTGAACATGGAATTAGAATGCTTAGGTCTCTAAGGTCTCTCTCAGGACTAACAGTTTGTGTTACATTCTTCTCTCACCTTAAGTGTGCAATCTCTAAATTCCTAGAGTTCCCATCTCTTAATCCCATCATTTTGTAATCTAATAATAATAATAGCTTCTCAGAATTAGCATTTGGTGAAACTGTATGTACCAGAAGGGTACATACATAGAAGAATCATGGTCTTGATTGGACCACTGTATTTTATTACTACATTTAAATAAGCAAACTGGTAATCCAAGCATGCCATATAAACTAATGCTGTTAATCAGATTGTGTTATTAAAAAGAATGTCTCAAAAATATTTGTCAAATAAGTTGACTAAGTAAATTCTACTTTAAAAAAGGTGGTGTTTAATATTTATGTACATAAGCTTTTTTAATACAATAAAGCTCAAGCTATTTTGTTTTATGTACATGGAGTCATATTCTATCTTGTTTCTAGAGATAATAAGACAAGCTTTATATGATAGTCGCTCTATTATCTATTTGCTTATTATCTATATTTTCTCTAAATCGAAAACTGACTTAGAATCACCCCACCAATACACAAAATTCTGATAAATAGAAAATGTTGTTTCAAGTCTTTAAATTTTGACTGCAAAATTGATGTATATGGAGTCCTTGATTACAAGGGAAAACAACTTAATGCTTTGGGGATGAATGTTATGATTTTATTTTTTTTTTAAAGGCAGAATTCCTAAGTCTCCTCTTATCTTTTTATAATTTAATACAGTGCAGTTATTGATTTTAATGACGTTACAAAGTCAGTGAGCAAGTTTTATTTCATATCCTAGGCTGTCTTCATGCCAGAATAAGACACAAATTTAGGTCATATGGGGCCTCTATAAAGTGATCTCAGCAAAATCAGGTAAAATTCAGTAATAATTTTTCTCTTTTTACAGATACCATTTTTCTGACATTGGTTATTTGTAGAGCATTATATTTAATAGGCAGATTGGAACCAAAAGCCATTGGTAATTATCTCCTCTATCAGTAAACTCAAAGTACTGAAGCACTTAAATTTGGGGCTCTCTGATGTATAGAGTTTTATTAACATAATTTCCCTTTTTTCTAATTAGAAGGGAAAAAAAAGTTCTAAACCTTAATAAATCTACATACAACATGGGACATTGGATTTTTAGATACTTTGGCATGAGCAGTTTACCAAAATGCACTTATGGATATTTTCCTTGATATGTTTCTCTCAAGTGTAATCTTGATGTTTTTTCCTTAAGAAATTTCAGGTAAGACATTAAACACATTAGTTGTTATGATAATATAGTTGTGAAATGACGTGGCTCATGAATTCATTCTTCTGTTACACTAGCTACAAGTTATCAGTTCATCCCTACACTTGATTTCTAATCTCTCTATTAATTCTCCTTGGGTGGTCAAACAATTGGCCAGTCAAATGATTTGAGATCTTAAATTGAATACATGAGACAGGATGTGGAGAGAAATTGTGGGGAGACTATCTCCTGAGTGCTAAAGTGGGCTACATGGCAAAAAAATTGGAGTTCTGATTCCTCCCAGGAGAACTCCTAGGCTGTGGAGTAGGAAAGATGTACTCCCTGCAAAGTCAGTGCCTTCCTCTCAGACAATGCATTTCTCTATACTCTGCCAAACTGCAAGGAAACACTTGCTCTTTGAATTTTAAATATATACCCTAGTAAATGAGAACAGGTCACGGTAAGGTGTAGCCTCTAAGTTCACATACCAAAAGACGAAACATAGCAGAAGCTCAACTAAAGCAGGGCTTTGTACTAGCTTTAGGAAAGCTGCTTCATCCACAGAAAACTGCACACCAGTGACAGAAAGCATTTTTTCTTGGATTTTGCATAAGTTTGGTTGACTAATGGCCTACTTCCCATATTTAATGGTCCCCTACTTTCCCAAGGGCTATGCATGGAGGACAAGGCACCAACTAAGGATATACCATTCCTCCTCTCCACTAGCTTTGAACTTAGGCCTGGAAGGTAATTTATCCACCTACAAAAATGTCCTGCATTCTACACACCTTTCAGAAGTAGGAAAGCCTAGCTATATACCTTTAAGGTTTTCATTTTCATAAACTGCTGTATGGTTCAGTTCTGTTCTTATATTCAGAAATTAATCACAGTTCTGATTAAAACATCTGTTTTAAATAGGAAGTCCTATAAACTTCCTGTGTTAATTTGGACTTGTATTTCTTCTTTGGATTCAGCTCAGTTAATTAAAAATACTTCCGCTAATCAGTTCTGTCATTTGCTTCAGGAAATTTTTGAAAGAGAGAATATAAACCCTCTTGGGCTTTTCTCTACAATTTAATAGTAGATTTGCTTCCTTCCAAAACATTTTTCACTCCATCATCAACCTAAATCATCCTCTTTCCTCCTTGGCTTACAGGAATTTTCAATAATCATAGTTATGACTGGTAATTTCTTTTTCAGGAAATTCTCTCTCTTTACTTTTTCCCAAACACTAGCAAATTGAAAATAGTTCTCTAACACATAACATTAAATATAAAGAAAAACTAAGTCATAGAAAACTTTGTAAGTATTGTAGTAAATCATGTTCAGGTACTGTCTTCTTGGACACAGATGCTAAATGCCTAGATTGATTTAATTCAATGGCTTGTCACAGAATAGCATGGAAATAACATTATGTGTAAATATTGAGAAGAGCATTGAGCTTTTTAGATTATTAAGCTTGTGAATATTGAATCACAAGAACACTGTTATGAAAACTTTTACACATACAGTTTCTATGTAGATAGCTCAATATCTCAAATTCTTTGGCAATGTTTTTTGACCCAGTGAGTCTGGGCACTTTAGTCTTCATGTGAATATACATTTTGCTCACTTGAAGTAGTTCTATCCTAGGAAATAATCAACAAAATGTACTGGGTGAAACTGAAGACATGACTTCATCATTAATAGATGGTTAGACAACTCTAAGCTTCAGGGTTTTTCTTCTTTTACTTTTGTTTTTGTTTTTCAATAACAAAGAAAATTATTTTCTTGGCCTCTAAATTCTAGTTCAGCTCTAAATAGTCCTTGACTTTCAATTCTATCCATCACATCCACATAAACATTTAAGGATATCAAGTAAGGGTATCAAAAGTACTTTAACCAGATAAGCAATTAATCGATCGTTAGTTCTTAGGCAAAGCATTATGGCAGGGTCTTTTAAATTGCTTGCTCAACTATAATGAAGTATATCATACTATGACTATAAAGACAAAAGAATCATAAAAGATTATGGTTAAATGTTAAGCCAAGGTAAGCCAAGGTAAGGTGAGGTGCCAAAGGTTACACAGCTTTCCTGTGGTCTCTTGATTTTCAGTCCTATCTCAGATACATAATCTGTTTTTCAGCAACCTACTTTCTCTGGATGTTTCTCTTGATAATATATCTTAAACTAAACCTTGCTTATTGGTGTTATTTGGTCCTGTAAAATGAGGGCCTCTCTAACTACTTTTAAAGAATCCTTAGTGAAACTGAAATGCCTGACAAATCATCTAAATCTTTCTCTTTTCTGCAGTGTCCTTCATGCTCTTCTGGGGGGTGGGTGGAGGGATGTGAGAGGAAGGGGTGAGCAATTCATAATTGATTCAAGCATGTTTATGCTTCATGGAAAGCTCTCAGGCTCCTTAGTTCTCCATGTGTATGATGGCTAGAACTCCCCAGTCCAGGAATCCTGACTGTTATGCATCCATTACTCGCCATGGTGCCTTTGGAGGGAATAGAATGACAGCACTGGATTTCCTCTAATTCCACCATTCCTTTACCTCCATGTTCTTACATATGACTTGTCAGTTCCCTGCACATTATTCTCACAGGTTTGCACTGCAGACAAAGGGAGGAAATAACACCTCTTTCTTCCCCAGCTTCCAGGCATCCTTCAGCTGCTGGCTTTCTTTCTCTACAGAAAGTGTCAATTTTGGAGATTTTTTTACAGCAAGTTTTTTTTTTTTTAACCCCAGATTAGGTTCTGAAATAATATTCTATATTCCTAAAGGAAGCATGTTTTTAAAAGAGGTTTTGAACAGAAAAGGATCTAAGCACCAGAAGGAAATGTAGGAGAACAACAATCCAGGGAGCAGGAACAAGTAGATCAAGTGCAAGAGAGTGGCATGGCCTGTTCTGCAAGTCATCCTGTGGGCCCAGGGGACTGGAGTTCAGAAACAGGAAAGCAAAGAAAGCTCAGGAGAGTAGGAGGTAGAGATAAAGTCATAGAGAGACTGTGTGCCACACCAAGGAGTTGGTGTTACATTCTGTAGGTAATGAGAAACACCAGAGAATTTTCAAATAGAGTGACATGATCCCCTTGCACATTAGAAAAGAGGAAAAAAAATGAATCAGAGAGTTTTGAGTCTGGAGATTATGAAATCATTTAGGAGAGTGTGAGACCAATTAGAGTACCAGAGTAATCCAGATGAGAAGTAATATATAAACATCAACTTAGGCAGTGGCAGGGGAAATGGAGACATGGGTTCAGCTGCAAGAGGTGTTGGGTTAGAATATGAGAGGCTTGCTGAGTCTACTTGATAGGTGAGGGAGAAGGCGGAACCTAAAATGGCTACCAGGTTTCTAACTTGGGTAACTAAGTGCATCAGGATACCCCCACAGGGGTGGAAAATACAATCATGTGAAACATTGAGGTTTTTCAGTCAATGCCAGGCTGCATATATGTCCCTGTATACAGTAGAGTGTGGAGTAGACTGTTCCAATGAGGGTTGTGTCGTTACACTCTACAATGTTTGCGCAATGATGAAATCATCTAATGACACATTTCTCAGAATGTATCCTCATTAAGCAACACATGACTACAATAAGAGGAGAAGCCTTGGAAGAGGGGTGGAGGAGGTGTTGAAAATGGCTATTAGACAAGTGGCATTGGAGATGTGAAGTATAAAATTGGAAACATAGTTGGAGAGAGATGTTTGGTAGTCATCAGCATGTGAGTGATAATTGAAGCCATGGGAGTTCGTAAAATAACCAGCATGTAGTTTAGGAAATGGCTTTTGATAAAGACAAGGAAACAACAACTTTAAGGATGTATACATAAAATAAGGAGCCAATAAGAGATGCTAAAGTAGAGCAATCAGAAAGGTCAAAAGAAAACCAAAGGAGATTAAATATTTTGGATGCTGAAGGAGAAGAGCATAATCTCACTCTATTTCACCCTTTTTAGAGACTAGAGATTTATTTTCAAAAACAACTAACCTACAAAGTTCTGGACCTAAGCACAAGAATGGACAGCATAGACTGAATGTGGGGCAGTGAGAGGTTACATTGACATTCGCCATCTTTCCTTCCCTGATCTGTTCCCAGGATGCAGTCAGCCTGCCCTAGGGAGGTTCTTGGAGGACTGTTCTTTGTAGAAACTACTGGAAGATGCACTTCAAGACAGAAAGGGTAGAGAGGGATGAGGGGAGGGGAATAGGCAAATAAGCAAAAAAAAAGTAGAAGATAAGAAATCCAGGAAACAGAGGATTCAACATAGGCAAAAGAACACCAGGACACCAGCTGTGCAGGAGGCCTAGGGACAACCAGTCCAGTCCAAGCAGGGAGGCAGAGGGCTGAAATAGGCAGGCCTCCAGGGAAAAATGTGAAACTGATGTGCTTAAGTGTTTGGGAAAATTACTGATAGGTGTTTGGCTTTGCTATTTGGAGCATTTGGAAAAAATAAAGATAGATACATAGAAAACCAAGCAGATGAAAAATTAAAATAATTTTTCTTTTGATGGGAGGAAAGTAGTAAGAAGAAAGGAATATAATCATAGTTAAGAGTTAGAAATTTTTTTCTCCAGAGAATAAAACTGAGGGATAAGGGGAATGAGGTAAGAAATAGCTGTGTTCTTCACCTTTCAGCAATGGCTGGTATTTTTACTATGTATATAGACAACAAAAAACTATGAACCAGAGACACTTTTTGGGGGGTGGGAGGGGATGGGAGGGGAGGGATTGGGGTAAGAATGGGTGGTTGCAATTGTATGGGGAATATAAAAATAAAATTTATTATTTAAAAAAAAATTTAAAAAAAAAAAGTAATGAGCCTCCCCAGTGACACAGCAGGTTGAGCGCAGCGCTGTGAATCTGTCCGCAGCTTCTACAGTGCGGGTTCGATTCCCAGCCGGCCAGGGAGATACCCACATGGCACAGCAGACCCTTTCTGTCTTGCCTGCTGCTCCCCTCAGCAGTATTTTCGGTTGTCTGCCTGTTCTGCTCACCACTCTGTCTCTGACGAATTCTCTCACCCTCCCACGCCTCTGGGCTGTACCCCAGCTCTCGTATAAATAAATAAAATCTTTAAAAAAAATAAAAATTAAAAGTAATTAAAGAATAAATGGGAAGCATGGAACTGGAGACAGAAAAGGTTGAGTGTTCTCTCAGTGACTTAACTGAGCAGGTAGAAGCTATAGCTGTAGCTATAAAGGACTACACAGTTGAAGGAAGAATTTAACTAAAATTTAAGAGGCAAGAGCATATTTATTTCCTGTGCGGAAGTAGCAGGTGAAACAGATGACAGGAAAGAGCAGAGGATGAGGAGGTTACCAGTGGTGAGACTCTGGAGGAGGAGGTAAGAGGGAAAACCTAAGTTTTGTCTGGGTGGGGAAAAGTTGGAAACATACTTCCTAGGATCCTGGGAAATCCTCCCTGTGCCCATCTTGTTAGCTCTTCCTCTTTGTATGTGTAAGTGGGCTCCCACAAAAGTGTGTTCTTCTTATCTAGTAATCCTGTGGTTTAACAATCAGGGAAGTCTCACTCTCCGCCCCCACCCGTTTTCTGAATCTATGAGGTAATGAGAAATTAAAGTCTTTGTACATCTTACATTCTCAGACAAGTCTTCATTTCCCTGAAAGTATGCTTTTCCCCCACTACAAATCAATTATTTCTTCACCTTTTGGGGAAGAAATTCAAGTAAGAGATCTGGTAACACCTTACTCTCAATGAATACACTAAAATCTCTTGAGAACACAATTATCGTCATCAATCGTCCTCACTGAAAATATAATAAAAATGCCAGAAGAAAGTGAATAATCCCATTTAAACAGATGACCTGGACAGGAAAGTCATTTTCCAGACAGGTTAAATACCCTTTGGGTGGAGTCCCAAGCAGGAACATTTTTGGTACTGTGTATGCTAAATGGCCACCATCATTGTGTGCTGAAATAGGCAAACACATGAAAATTATTCTCAGGAAGGAATACTGCACCTCCTCTGTGGTTGTGCAGATTTGCTATGAACATCTCCAGGGGATTCCATCCTGCTGAAATCTGTGAAAAGGGCATCCCACACCCTCCTCCAGGGATTTCTAGGGTGGGTCCTCAGCAGCCCTGGTGAGACCTATTTTATTTTACACACATTACAGTTCCAGAATATGGAAAAGACACTAACCTTTTAATCCCATTCACTCTTATAAAAGTATATTAGATTGCATCTTAAAAACATATTCACAAATGGAAGCTGAAGTTGGAGTGCATTTAATCCTCCACCTCCCATCCCCAGTGGATTTCCTTTCTAATATGTGGTTTAAAATAAAGCTATCCAATAAATGTAGAGTTGGTTCTAAAATTTCAAAAGAAAGGCTGCCACAGCGGTTGCTCTTTATCATTTCTGAAAAGTGAATTATGTGTGGCTCTGCCAAGTTTTCTTAGCGGTTGTACTTTGTAGGTGGCTCTGTTCCAAGAGCCAGATGTATAAACATCCTGTACATGTACTGTTAAGCCCTTTGGAGCACTTCCCCAAGCATGGTATGGACTTCCAGGCAGAAACGACGTAGGGTAGTGTGAGCAGGTTAAAACAAAAAGAGCAGCAGTGACAATAAGATTATGATAAAGTCACTGAAGACTTGTGGGTAGAAATAATGCAAAAGGAATACAGTGTTTTGTTCTTTTCACACCGTCATTTGCTCAAATGCAGTATGTTATGGTATAGTAACACTAAATACTCTAAGTGTGAAGGAGATATTTGAAAAAAAGTGACTATTCTCATTTTTGAAAGGAATGGCTGTGCACTTTATAAAAGGGGAAAAATCCCTATTAAAAAATACAACTCACTATTCAAAAAGATGATCTCCTGTTTAAGCCTGCTCAAATTATATTTCATAAAATCCCTTTTCTCAGTCTCTCTTGCCTTCTACCCTGAAATCCCATTATGGCATGTCTAGTATTTTTCAGTATTTTTAAATATATATGCTAAGAAATGATGGGTTGTAGACACAGAGATCTGACTAAAATCAACGTGAATACTGTGGCATCTACCACAATGGTAAAATCCAAGTCCAAGTTCTATGAGAGGGAGAAGATTCATTGTGAAGAGAATTCACAGATGAGCATTTTTGTCATGAAGCATGATGATTCATGGGTTAAAAACTAACTATACATCTTTAAAAAAACAAATAAAACCTACTGTTCCCAAATATCAAGACCTGGCACTATCCTAATAGTTTTGGAAATCTCACAATTCAGAAAGGGAAAAATAACCTCTAACTTTGAAGTCATATTTTTTGTAAAATCATTAATTAGCTCAAAACTTTTAACAAAGGTACTACTTACATGAGAGCTTGTATGCTAAGCTGCAGGTTATTAGCCTTGAGCTCATTTGTGATTGACTACAAAGCACAATATCCACCTGAACATGGTTAATCTTCTCAGAAAGACACCTGGATTTTGCATTCACATATTGTTTCATGCTTACTAAATCATGCTTAAAATTGATGAAAATGTTACAAACACAAGTAAAACTTATAGCAGTAATAATCCATTTCACACTGTACATGCATTCGTGCATGCACACACACACACACACACACAATCACAATCATGAACTGGTTCTTGACTTGCAAGTAAAGTTCACACTTAACTGAGGAACGTATTCAGATTTGAATAAGTTATGCATGATGTCATTTTTGTTTCTTGGCATTAATATATCAGAATTGACTTTCTGCTATTTTCTATCCATTACAACCTCTGTTGTACTATAAAGGGCCATTTGGCAGCTCTACTCAAACTGCACAATTTAAGTCAATTGCACACTTGAATAGAGCATGTATCTGAGATTAATGGTTCTAAAGTTATTGTCTGGAATGCTGGAAATGTTTTGGAGATGGCCACAACTTCTACCATACCCACACACACACACAAATAAGTAAAACTCTGTTTTTAGAATTCCATATTTCATTTCCATTTTATTTCACATTCAAATTATTTCTTGAAATCATCTTAAAGGCTTATGTTTTTGCAAAAGTTTAGGGGTCCTCCCTGTGGCAAATTGTTTTCCAGGAAATCTGGGATTTGATAGAAGCAATGACAACTGTCAAACTATTTCCTATTTCATGATAGAAATTTTGAAAAATCAAGTTATTGTGGAATGAGGCCACTTAAATTTGAATTATAGTCAAGGAACATGGAGCTTGCTTTAGGTAGGACATGATTCAGCTCCCATAGCTTACCAATGATGAGACTGAGGCTCAGGTGGGTTAACTGATGGGTCCATTTTCTAGAAGCAAAACTGGGACTTGACACTAAGCCCTGTCTCAGGCCAAATGTCCTCAACAAAGTACATGACAAAGAATAGTATTGCTAGTACTTTACCCCAGCATCAAAACATCACAAAGTAGGAAAGACACATGGCTATTAGTTGATTATTTTATGAACAAGATATTTAAAACTTAAATTAGTACATGTAAAGAGTTGGCACAGACAGATGAAGGTTCTTTTTCATGGCAGCAGTAGCATCTGCACAACATACCCCCTCAGCCACTGCCCTCAGCCCTTCCCCCCTCCAAGAGAGGTAGCGCTGCCAGCAGATTTCTTCAGCTCTATTTTCATAGACTGAGTCTCAGCTCGAGGCTCGAATTTGGTCAGATTTCCTGCTCCTGGGGCTGCCACTACTGGCTTTCCTGCTTTCATACCTTTTGACATAGGAATGCGGGTGGGTGTAGGCCGCTGGGATGACCCATCTTGTCCTGACTGTAAGAGAGAAAATATAGAGACACAGGGAGATGTGGGTGAGTTACCCCTGGATATGCTATTAATTGGAACATTTAGCAGTATTCCTGCCACACAGGAATTAGCCACATCCTGCCTCTTTCCCGAGATGAAGTTGTTACAAACTTGGAGTGGGTATCCAGTTCATCCTGATTGCTCCCTTTATCCTCTTCTGCAATGCCTTTACCAAACCTCCTTCTCCTCTCATCCCCCTAACCTACATCCACTACCCTTCCTGAAGATCACTTTTTGCTTACAGAGAAAATACAATCCACTGGTATAAACTCAGGCAACTTTACTCCACTGTCCCTCAAGTTATCTTTTCAGTTGAAGCAGTTCTTCTTTCATCTTGTAGTAACACCAGATTCTTCATTTTTTTATTGTCACTCCTGACCAAATCTTCCTTAAAGTGCCCTTAAAACTCTTACTGTGATTTCCTACTAGAGTCTCACCCATCCACCTCCTGTCTGACCACTCCTTTTCCATCTTTTACTGGCTCCTTGTTTTACCTTACCTGCCTGCTGAAAGTGGAGGTCTATATTCCATTCTCTGCTCTCTTTTTTTTTTCAATTGAGAATGATTTATTTCACACTCAGCCTACAAAATAGCCCCATCATTTAATCTTTTGATTTTTCAGTGACTACAGACAGTGGGCAGTTCATCCACCCTTTAATTCCTCATGTTCATTCTGAGAATTACCTATGTGTTGGAGAGTCCCATTCTTAAGCCTTCAGTGCTTTTCTGAAATACAGATTTGTGTTTCCAGCTACTTGCAAGACATATTAAGTGTGCTCTAGGTATCTAAAATATAAAATGCTGCCAAAATTACTTATCTCCTCTCCCAAACTGTAGTTGCCTGTTTCTCTTTCCATGCACCCGGACAGCCAAGTCAAAAACCTCAGAGCTATCCTCTGAACTCAATTTTTTCATTAAATCTTTAATTCTATCTTCAGTATGTCTCTGTCCTCATTTTCACTACCATAGTTTAAGCCTACACTGCCTTTCACTTAGAGTATCCTTTTCCTCAGCCTGTCTCCTCTCACATAGCCTTTAAACTGTTTCATAGACATGTCTTTCTAAAACACATATAATGTAGCTTTTCTGTCATCATTTCCCTTTTAATGGTTCTCTCTGCCTATTCTATGAGATTAAATGTCAATTTCAGAAGACAAAAGCCTCTCTTCAACATCTGACCTCAATTTGCCTTTCCTTTTTCTGCTTTTGCATTCTGTCTCCATGCCCACCTGCCCCAGCACAATGGAACTGGTCACCATCCCCAAACATGCAAGAACCTTCACATGGTCAGACCTTTGCATGTGCTATTCTCTCATATGCCTTCTTTTTCCATTTTGAAGATCTCCCTCCATCTGTGAAAACATCCTACTCAGTGAAGCTTTCTCTGGTGGTTCCTTTTATATACCTATATCTTAGAAACACTAGGTGGGTTCTAATCCCGCCTCTCCCAGAAAGCTGAGAATTTCTAAAGGTCCTCTTCACACAAGGCAGCACCGAACCTGGTGCCTAAAATGTAGCTGACAATAAATATTGAATGAATAAATGCACAGATGAACTAGCCTCACTATTTAGTTTCTAAGATGGGTATCCCAAGCTTCCGATTGTCCTTAATTTTATGGGATCTTATGTAACTGAAGTTACATAACTGTAAATGGCCTTAGACATCTTAGACAGTTATTTTGAAATCCTATTTCTGTATGGACAACAACATTGTTGCCATAGAAAGTTAAAGCTATCTTGATCTGACCCTTAACAGGGAGTAAAACGTTCCGTAGAAAATTTGCTCTAAGTTCCACCAATTTTCACCTCCTTGGTTTTTTTATTTTTAATAAAATTCAGCAGAAAGAAACAAGGCCCTGTACCACCAAGCTATGCTCTGTGTGGCCTAAAAAGCAATATTGAAGCAACTGAAAAGGGTGAGCAATCCTGAATGCTATTTGGCTCCTGCAAAGCCAACAATTAAAAGCTTTACTGGCAAAGCAATTAGCAATTCACACTTTCAAGTCTGCCGTGAGTCTATGATCGTGCACAGAGAAATCAAAGTAAATTATATTGAAGATATGGGAAAATAAGCCACAGTTTCTATACGTAAACAATAAGCTTCTAGTCTAGCTTAAGTGTTTCCAATATATATGCTATAGAGTTGTTCAGAGTTTAGAAATCATAAATTTTAGTATATTAATTTAAATTAATATCTATTATTTAAATAGTACATGCTTTTTAATAATTTCATTTACTAATTTTATCCCAATAAATGAAGATACTCCCTGGAAGTATTTTGAAAAATAGAATTTACTTTCAAATTCCTGGGTCTATGCTTTGGGCATGGATTTTTTATGATCATTCATTTAGCCTCTGACTGGCTATTAAGTAAATATTTAACAAGTACCTGCTGTCTGCAAGATACTATTAATAAAATGCAGCATTTATACATGTAAACTCATTTCTTCTTTACTTTTAAAAATATTTCTGATAATAAAATCTTTGAATTTTATATTTAGAATAAGTGTGACTATGATCATACATAATTACAGATTGAATATTTTAGGTCAAAGACATAAAATGCGTGAATCTATACATTGATTATCTCCTGCAATGCCTACTTTAAAAATTATTTTAAACTAAGAATCAAAATTTAAATTTTATTATTTATTACTATATGTTGACATTACAAAGAGGCCATCTTTGCAAGTAATGGGAGGGGTCACCAGAATTTACATGAAAAAAAATTTTCCCTCAAATTTACCTTTATTTAGCAAAATGTTATGCTACTTTTTCATTTGTTGGTATAGACAGTCCTCTAAGAAACATCTGTTGTGGGTTCATGAGCTTTTGTTTTATTTGCGGCTTTAGTGGATTCTAACTGCCCACTTTTCCCTCCTTCACTCAGTCTGCACTTTGAAACCTCTGCCACTCACCAATGACTGGGTTCCTCTGGAAGATGAGGTTGTAACTGGTGTTATGGTGATAGTACTCGTCACTTTGCTCGCACCAGGTCGAGAGGAGAGATGGTTCCTGGGAGAGCGAAGGACAGTGCCAGTGGAAACCTCCTTTTCAGCTGTCATGTTGACAGGTCGGACAGTAATAACAGGATTACTTCCTTCAGCTGAAGTCCCAGGGGATCGTTTAAATTGAGAACCTAGGTGAATATGAATTTTATTGTCTTCCGTGGTAATGATATTGGCATTGGAGTTGTATTTCCGTACTGGAGTTGGAACAGTCTGTTTTTCTGGGGTGACTTTGAAGACAGTCCTTCCCATGGGCATTTCCTGGGATTCGGGAGAGACTGCAATCTCAGCTGGCGCTGCTGATGTAGACACGGTCATTATCTGAATGGGGGATGTGGGCCTGTCCGCAAACATACCTCTTCCACTTTCTGGGGTCTTCTCTCTGGAAAAAGTAGTGATCGTGACTGGGGACATGGCTCGTTCTGTGCCAAGAGTACTATCTCCACTTTTTTGTTTTTGAGACATAACATTTGGTGATGGAATAATAGTTATCCTTGGTTTCTGATTCCCTAGGGTAGGAATGACAGTGGTACTGGAAAAGAATTCTTCAGATGTCGGGCTTGTTATCTCCAATGTGGCAGTACTGTTTTCATGGTCTGGTGTCACTCGAATATGCAGGGGCTGGCCCTGCTTTGGAGAAAGGACCAGCTCTCCTGGGTGCCCTGGGCTAGAATTTGTTCGAGGTCCTTTATCTTGAGTGATTGGGGGCCCATTTTCCCTTTTTCTCATCCATGGAATCCAAGACTTTCTCATAGTGAGCTCATTTGCTGCTGGGGGATATCTGTCTAGAACAGAGGATCGTTCCATAGGTTTCTTCAGTCCCACCTGTCGAAGATTACTCATGATATGATTTTCTTCTTGAAAGGATTTCCGTATAAATACTGCTGGTGTTTCTTCCTCTGCTGCCTCATGGCTGACTACATCAGTCTGTACTCCAGTCGATGTCACGGGAATATCCACCATTCTTCTTCCATTCACACTGGGTCTAAGAGCTCTGCTATAACGCTTAGAAAGTTCCAACTCTTTGGTCAGATTGAGGACCTCCTGCCCCATGTTTTTGTTCTTATTTTCTTCTTCCATAAATCTTTGTTGAAGAACAGAATAATCCACTTGGAGCTGAGACAGCTGATCTTCTTTGTTCATTAGTTCATGAATCTTCTCTTTAAGAGCTTGTACTTCAGCCTTTAAGTCTCGACTCTTAGCTTCTTCTAGCCGAAATCTGTGTCTTAGCTCAGCTTCCTGGCTCACAGCCTCACCTTTCTCAATAGCCTTATTCTTGGCGATCTGGTGCTTTATCTCCTCCAGTTGTTGAGATAGGAAGTTAGCCTTATCCTGCTCAGTTCTAAATTTCTGCTCCAGCTGGTCATACTCATCCTCTGTCTTCATCAAATCCCCTTCAACCACCTCCAATTGTTGGAGACGTTTCTTTAGTCTCTCAATTTCAAGTGTTAGTTCCTTAATCTTGTTATCTTCTGGGCAGGTGAGCTCAGATCCTTTTCGAGATCTTCCTCTTGTTATTTCTCTTTCTACTTCCTCTATCCCATCAAGTCTCTTTTTTAATAGGCTAACACTGCAGCTTAATTCAGAGGACTTTTCTTCTTCACTTTTCAATTTGCCTATTAACTCATCTCTCTCTTTTGTCAAAGTGTATACCCTCTCCTCCATTTCAGATTTCAGTTTTAAAAGCTTCTTACTTTCTTCAATTAGTTTTTCAGTTACATCCATAACCTTTCCTTGTTCCACCTTAAAATTTTTATTGAGTCCATCCACTTTTCTCTCTTCTTGCTTTATTTTTTCCATCATATTTTTTCTTTCATCAACCAGCATTACAGTAAATGACTTTAACTTTGTAAGATCATCTTTTAGGCTTAACTCAGCCTTTTCCAGTCTGCTTTCGGAACATTCCAGCTCTTTAACTCGACTCTTGACTACTTCCAACTCATTCAGCAGGTCTTTCGTTAAGTTTTTTTCCTTCTCCAGATTTAAATGTAGCTGGGTACATTCAGATTTACTCTTGCTGAATGCTTCTTCTAATTTCTCTAGTTCAGACATTCTCTTTTGTAACTTCTCAACTTCAAGTTTGAGCTCCCGGCTATGGTGTTCTTCTTCCTGCAGCTTCTTCCTCAGTTCTCTGCACTGGGATTCAGTCTTGGTGATCTCCTCATCTTTACCCTCCATTTCAAGCACACGCTTCCGGAGGTTTTCCACTTCGGCCATGAGGCTGGAATTGCCACATTCTCCTTTGGCAATTTTATCTCTTAATTCCTGAAGTTCCTCCTCTGCTTTTTGAAGATTCCTGTTGGTCTCTTCTAGCTCCTCAATTCTCTGAGTTAAGCCAACCAGCTTGAGTCTCAGCTGCCTGTTATGAGACTCTTGATTAGCCAGCTTAGCATTCATCTCTTCATGCTCTTGAGAAAACCTTGAAGCCTTGTGTTCAAAATCCACTTCTAACTTGAGCAGCTTCTGCCTGTCTTCTTTAGATTTGGAGGTAATGGCTTTCAGTTTTTCTTCTTCCTCCCTTAGTTTCTGAGTAAGATCCTGTACTTTCTGACTTTGCAGGCCAAGTTGCTCAATATGCATTTGCCTTTCATCCACCAGCATGAGTGCAAAGGACTTGAGTTTCACAAGCTCATCTCTCAGTTTATTGAGCCGCTTAGCATTTTCTTTTTCTTTGCGGGCTTGGTAAGCCTTTTCTTGCTCAAGGAGCTTTTTCAATCTAGGAGAAAAGAGATACCAAAATACTGTACTTTATTGTATATATTTTTTGTTATATATTTTTATATATGCATTATCATAAATATCAAAAGATTAAGCAGGCTTTGATAGTAAATAAAAATGAAATGCTACTATAACAAATCCCTTATCAATTGCTCTGATATATAGGTTTAACAAATGCCATTAGCAAAACTAATCAGAAGTCAGGATGTTGATTTGGCTTAGAGAGCGGTAGTGACCAGAAAGGGGGGTGAAGAGGACTTTCGAGGTAATAGTTGAGGAAAATAAGACAGGGCACCAGTTGCAGGTCACACAGTCAGTAAGTTGCAGACAGTAGGATCCAGAATCCTTGCTCTTCATCCTGCATCATATGACTTCATGCAAGAAATTTACTTTAAGAGAAGGTCTAACAGGGAACCTTTGGGTTTTCATATTTTGATACACTACCACCTGATAGGGAAAAGGCAAGACAAGCTTCCTGGTAGAAAACTGATCTATATAAACTGATTTTAGTTAATACCAGAGCCAGCACAGGCTTTTTGTGTAAGTTTTCTGATTTAAACGATTTTTAAATAGAGAACTAGGTAGAGAGGAATTTTGAATTATTACTAATTAAAAAAATGTGATAGCCATGGGAATTACTAAGTTTCAGATGTATGAAATGCATTTTCTCTAAGGGATTTAAGTATAGCTTTAAAAACTATAAATATGACAGTAACTATCATTCTTTTATTAATTAGTTGCTGATGCCAATTTTTGATATTTTTCAAATACCCATAAAAACAGAGTAATAATTATACTAACCATATCTAGTATAGAAATACATTTAGTAATTTATGCTTATAAAACAAGTAAATTGTAAACAGCCACTAATGTGTATTTAAGTACATTTTTTCCTCCAATATGTTCTATGCCTTAATTATTTTGAATGATTTATTCATACTTATGACTAGATTAGCTGTTAGCAAAGTAAATAGAAGTCTCACACTGCATTGTGCAAAAAATGATTAGACATACACATAAAGGCTATTTATAGTCAAATTCCATGTCAGATAGTTACTATAGAAATGACTCTGATGATGTCATTAAGATGATTTAATATAAATTTTTAATGAAACATATGCTTATGTCTAAGCATCTGTTAATTAAATGTAAAACTTCCAAAACCCATTATGTCTTAATTCCTAAAATGGGAGAAAAATGTTCTCAAATTCTACAGACTTAAGGAGGTCGCTAAGTATGGTTCTTACATGCCTAAAAGGGCATTTAATGACTGTCTTCCTTTTTTCACTTGAACCAAAACAACTGAAAAAAGGTCACAAAATCATAGAGCAGGAGATAATTTATGGTATATTTTCAAATTCTTTGACCTTCATTAGACTGTCAGAGATGAATTCACTGAAAATATCACTGCTTTCAACTTTAAGCTTAAAATATTAAAACATCTAATCTTATTTGCTTAAATATCTTATGTTGCTAATGCTATTGGAGGAGGTGGGTTGATTTAGCTAAAGCATAAATATTGGGTCAGAGATAACCAAATCCGAATTCTGACTCTGCCATTTTCTAAATGTATAACTTCTGGCCCAGTCACTTAAACTCTCTCACCCTGTTTTCTTAACTTCAAAGGAAGAAGTGAGGGATACCTATATCTTCACATGGCATTGTCCTGAAGATTGAGCTCATAGAAATAAAGTGACTGACACAAACATCCAACGCAAAGCAAAATAAATATAAGAACTAGAGAGTATGCTGTTCTCTCCATTTGAAGTTTGTAGGATGCATTTGTGTTTAATATATAAATATTTATATGTCATTATCTTGTCTTTGATGGTAAGACCTGGGTATTAGTACTTCCGCCAGAGGAAAGGAAACCCTATGAGCTAGACCACGAATGGCAGGAATTGGGTTTCCAGGAAACACATTTTTCAGGTCCTCCTTGCAGTGATTATTTCTCTTTTTCTAGTCCCATTTGTTCCCTTTCTTCCCTTTTCTATCACATTCTGAACCCTTCCTATCTCTTAAAGTGGCCCATTCTCTCTTGGGCCTCCCCAGTGGCACAGCGGTTGAGCGCTGGGCTGCGAAGCTGCCTGCAGCCTCTGAAGCGTGGGTTTGATCCCCAGTCCCCTGTGAGGGTCCCACAAGGCGCGCAGACCTCTCCTGCCACCCACTGCTCCCCTCAGCAGTGCATTTCCTTGGTCTGCCTGTTCTGCTCCCCTTGCTCTGGCTCTCACCCTCCCATGCTTCTGACTGTACCCAGTGCTTGTATAATAAATAAATAAATCTTTTTTTTAAAAAAAAAAGTGGTCCATTCTCTGTGTACTCCCCAAATCCAGTTGGTGTATCTACAGCTAGATCCAGGGCTACAATGAAGTTTCAAGGCTCAGTTGAGACAGCCAGTAGCCATGTGCAAAAATATCTGCATTTAAATTTCTACAGGCAAGACTTTGGGGATGGGAAGAATGAAATGAATGGTGAAGATTTTGCAAAAAGTAACTGGCAGAGGCTTGTGACTGCTCACTAGGAGGATGTGAAAGAAAGAGCAGCACACACCTGGGGTTTCATGGGACAAAAAGTGACAGACATCCCAAAAGGAAGGAAAGTTTGGGCTATCTTTAGGCTATTTTGTCAGCACACACATAAAAACACAGAGCTAAAATCCTATAAGATTTTTTAATGTCTCTTTCATTTGCCTTGTTTACTTTTTTGGTTTATTTTCTTCCTTTTTAAAAAAGTTCTAAGCTCTGCTACAGAGAAACAAGAAAAAGTTTTTTTTTTTTTCCACATTTAGACCTGAACTTGAGTGTTGGATAAGCACACATCTGGGGCTTCGTGAGACAAACAATTACTTATTGTCAATTTAGCATTCTACTTTCAGATGTCTTTTTTCTTTCTCTATACCTAGAAATTTTAATCTTTATATTAAACATAAATTTCAGAAGTATTATATAACTTCACAAAATGTAGTGGCTATAACATTATGTTTCTTTTTCAAACAAATTTTTAATAGTTACAATTTAATTTTGTGCTTTAAACAATCAATTGGCTCAACAATTGTTAGGCACTTTTTCCATGTAACTAAGCTATTTAAGGAGCAGAATAAGAGGGCTGTGGCACTCTTGTGCCAACTGGTCTCACTACCTCCTCACCTTTCTCTCTGCCCATCCTGCCATTCTTCAGCAATCTCTGGGTCTAAATATATATTAGCATTAACAGGAAACAGCCCAGGCCAAGAGTATGAAGATGAATTAGGGCCCTAATTATTATCAACAGTTACAGGCAGAGCCTTGTGTATACTGAAATCAGATTTATTTTTAGCTAGTTATTCATTTTCTGAAAGCATTTTATCTTATTTAGAGAACAAAAGGAAGACAATTAAGTGATTTAGTAGATTTTCCAGAATTCTCTTGCCTTTCTTAATAACTATTCTTAAATGTATTACTCATTTCTCTTCTCATACTGAGTAAAACCTCAGTCATTAATAAAAAACATGTCAATGTACAGAACTCTCTAAAAACTCTTAAGAGCTCCCTCCTGCTGGCATCAATCCATTCAGTAGCATGGAATAAAACTATATTTTTTAGCTTGCATATTTTTCATTTGTTATAACAATGTTCAGAAATTCAATTATTTTCAATTATTAGACTTTAAAAGTGTATGGCCCGATGCTCAAGATGCTTGTGGTATATATATTTGTCAATATTGTATAATAAAAATTGGTGAGTTTTGTTGAATGTAAATTATCTCAATAACAAATATAGTGGGAAGGAAATAATATAAAAAGACTAGGAGAGTGCTGGAAGATATCACACAGAAAGAGAAAAAAGTTGTAAACATGTATTATAAGAGCATGACTTAAAATGTGATAGAAAATATACAACATATTATTAATCTTAAGGCAGAAAGAAGTGAAAGTTCAGGTGGGAAAGGCAAAGAGAAGATGGATAATAATTTCGGGTACAATTGGAAATGCTAAAAAGAAAAAAATTTCTGGGAAAGTAATGGTCAGGTACTAGAAAACCAGTAACCCTGATTTTACTTCAAGCTGCTCTTAAAAGCTTACCACAAACTCCAGTTTTCACTGATACCTAATTTTAAAAAATAAAGTATAGAAAATTTTTGACAATAAAATTAATCTTATTTACCTCTGTATTAATCTTATTTCCTCTGTACTTCCGCCAGAGGAAAGAAGGTTTTCTGATCTGAAGAATAGTAGAAGGAAACCCTGTGACTACCTATTACATCGAGGCCGTGTGTGAAGTATTTTATTATTTAATTTCATTTGCACAACAACCCTTTGAGCAAACCATCACTTTTATAAATAAAGGAAATTATTTTACTTAATCAAGGGAATGAGATTAAAAAGGGGTACTTTTGGATTTTGAACCAAATCTGTTTGACCACAATGTGCTTTTAATAATAATGCTTGCTACTCCTCAAATAGATATTACTTGAACATCACAAATTTGCAAAATTTTGTTTCTTAGATTAATTTCATCTTGCTTGGTCAGGTCTATCACTTTTGGAATTGTCAAGATCTCTTTGAATTCTTTTGTGACCCAATATATCAGGTTATGCCTAGTGTTATGTCAATGGCAAAATGACCCCAATTATTAATAACAGGTCAGGTCAGTGCACAGAGCTCTTGAAATACTCTCAGGAACTCCCTCTCACTGACATCAAATCATTCAGTAGCATTGACATTGTCATTCAATTAGTTAAGAGCCATGAGGCTCTTAGTCCTTATCTCTACTATCCTCCCAATCCTCCCTTATAAACCTGTCCCAACGGACATCTCCCTCATGTAAGTCAGCTACACCAAATTCTTCCAGAAACTTAAAATCCAGAGTTACCTTTGAGTCCTTTCTTTTACTTTCCCATATTCATTTCTTCAGTAAACCTTGTCAACTCTATCTTCAAAATATACCCAGAATCTAATTGTTTCTCACCTCCATTGCTATCATCTTGGCTGAAACTGCTATCATCTCTTATTTGGAATAT